CACATAACTCTCAAAATCTCAGGCTCCAATCTCTCACCCTAAAGTATGCAAAACTCCAAATCTCCCCAGTGGACAGAACAAGTCCTCTGGTCATATGTATCGGAACTCTGACAAAACAGTGTTCCATTAGGTGGCCATCTTCCCTTAACACCACCATACTGCTGCAGAAGAGATACCATGGTAGATGGATGGACACTTGGGTCAAACTTAAGCTCTTCAAGTTATCCATTCCTTCATCTACAAAGCAGAGTCAAAATACTAACCCACATGGTCTTCAAGGGACTTAAGCAAAATGAAAGAAGGAACCATTTTATACCAGACAAGAATAAATTTTATCAGGCACAGGAACACATATCTATGATCCTAGAATTCTACCTTGAGAGGTGGAGGCTAGAGGATAGCAAGTTTGGGGCTAGCCCAGGCTACATAGTGAATGATAGTCTATTGAGTCAGAGAAAAGAAGGAAAAGGACAGAGGGGGAAGGGAGAGGGAGAGAGGGAGGGAGAGAGAAAGAAAGAGAGTCAAAACTTACCTTCCAATAGTATTCAATTTCCAATTTGAAGACATGAGATGAGTCCATGTGGGTGCCTCCCATTTTGCCCAGGTAACACAGGTTTCTTTTGAGCAGAAGAGACACATCCCGCCAAATGGAACTCAGCAGCAGGCCTCTTTCCTGCCTGCACAGCCCTATCCTACATTAATGACATTGTGAGTCCTCCAAAGGGCAAGGGTCTTTCCTGGCCAGGATTGTTTCCTGCTTGGGTCTCCAGGGTGCCTTGGCTCACACACCAATGCACCTAACAGTTTAGCCAGCTGGGGGAGGGGCAGGAGGGCTAGAACAATACTCCTGGTGGTTTAAGTTCTTTTGTTTTTCAACTAATTCCACCTTTTATGGTAGGTTGTGAGGCATCCTGAGTAGTTAGATCACATCATTTAAATATTAACTCTAATTGGGTGGTTGCTCCTTTTTCCATGTGAGGGCTGAGATCATCAAGACTCTAGATGACACTGCTGGTGAGTGGCAGAGCCAAACCTGGGGAGGGAGAGCCTCTTCAAACACCCAAGGAGCATTTATTGAAATCCCATGATATGTGTTTGCACAGGAAGCCTTGCTTTTCATTAACTCTCACTTACACTGCAAATATCTAAACACACACTTAATAATGACTGCCATGGCTTTCGCTCTTGGGTGCCTTCCCCACACCTGGAACATCTACCAATGTCTGGAGGCAACAATATGATTGTCATACATGGTAGAGTGCTGTTGTCTTCTAGCAGAAACCTGTCTGGTGTGGCACCAAACGTCTTATGATGTGCAAGAGATACCATCATAAGAGAAACACCTGGACCAAAAATGTCACCATGTTGAGGCAAAGAGCCCCTGAGGAAGGGGCAGCAGGGGTTAGGGGATGATGGAGTACTCTGTTCAAAACAAAACAAACAAAAAGCAAAAAGCAATGAATGGGCCAGACTGGCCACAGGATTGACAGCTGCTTGGACCTGCAATACAAGTGCCCAGCCTCCATTCTTTCTGGCTTTCAAGCCAGAAACCCAACTATTTTAATGTGAAACTGTCTCTTTTAAAAGTCCACATCTAATTCGCACACCTTAAAAATCCTATGCAGGTTAAGCAAAACAAATCAGGAGGTGGTGAAATCAGGGAGTAGAGAGTAGGAGCCAGGGCTGCAGTCTAGCTGGGAGAAAGGCCACTCCCCACAGGGGGCAAGTATTAACATTACATCTCAGAGCTTAGCCAGTCCCTTGCCCTACCTGCTCCCCTCCCAAGCAACATGTGTTATGCTAGGAGTCTGTAATAGAATCCTGCTTGTGTGGGTTTTCCTGCACAACAACTCTAGGAGCTAAGTCAACTTGTGCCCTCCCATTTTAAATACAAGGGGTTCAGCATCACAAAGCCATCCCTCAACTTTTCCAGGAGGCAAAGCCAATGTCAGCATTAGAACCCGAGCCCCACCTGTCAGCCCTATATCTGTTCTTGTCGAGGAAGCCAGCTTGCTGGATCTCTGGTGTCCACACAGAAACACCTGCAAGGGGCTTATCACACTCTTGCATCCACACCCAGGCAGCAGTATACCTCTGTGGTCCGATCAAGCCAAGTTCCCCCAAGTGCTCAGAACCTCAGCCCCACATCTAAAGCTGCATTTTCCCATTGGGAGTGGGTTCTTCTCCAGGCCAGTGTCTGATACTTCAACCACTGGGAGGTGTCCTTGGACATGGGGTAGGTAGAGGCCAGGAGTATTAGTAAAGCTACAGAGAGCAGATTTACTCCAGAGAGCCACCCAGCCTGAAATTCCAGTGGTGCTGGGGTGGAAGAACCCCAAGTTAAGAAACTCATGACAGTCTCTGTGTCATTAAATAAGCAACCAGCAGAACATTCCAGTTAATTCTGTCTGCTCTTCATCTCAAACTTTACTTCTCTCTCAGCTCATTCTTTTTTCCCCCGACCCTGGAATTTTATGATAATTCCTTCTCTCCCCTCGAAATAGCTACTAATCTTACATCTCAGCCGCAGCAAAGCAAAGAAAGTAAAGGAACAATTAATCAGAGGCCAATGAAAAACCAGTATTAATCTACAAAGGACATCCTTGAGGTTCAAACATCATGATCTCTTGGGCCAGAAAGATTAGTGCCTTTTTTTTTTTAATCTAGAAGCCCTATGCCATTTTCCAAGCACACCTCAGACACAGATGAACTCAGCCCCTCTCTGCGAAATACACACACAGGAGCATGCTGGATTTCATAAAATGATTTTAATAGAAAAGTACAAGATATGAACAAAAATAAATAATCTTCATCTCCTTTCTAGCTCAGCAAAATGAAAACTGTATAAAAATTGGTCTAAGATATAAGTCTCTCCTTTCTTTCAAAACACTATTCAGCCTTCTAGGTCAGCTCACATCCGTCTATGGTTACATCTGCTTTATGAAGTTCACTAACAAGGTATTTTCCCTAACATAAAACACCATCCAATCATCAGATTTAAGTGTAAACTCCATGTTAACAGGAAAATTAGAAGATCCCTTTTATAAGTTTTAATTCTTAGGTCTCTAAATGTTTCTGCAATTTAAAAATAATAATAATTTTAAACCTTCACAACATGGCATCTTGTTTATTGCTCCACAGAGAGGGAAGACTATAGAAAATGCTTTTCAAAACAATAAATATTTTTAAAAGTATGCTTTACAGTAACAGTACAGTGCTTCAGAGCTCTGCCTCCATGTGTGTGTATGCATTAAACATGTACCGGAAGTTACAGGAAACTTTACCTGTGTTTCTGACTGAACGGTTATTGCAGGTGCCTTTCACTGGCGATCACAGTAATACTGGTTCATACTGGTGATCAAGTTAATACAGCTCTTGTCCACAGGTTGTGACATCCTGCTCTTGGGCCCTATCTGAAGGTTTCAGTGGCTTGAATAAAGTTGCAGAAAAAGACACAAAGGAACTGGCTATTGGGAAAATCCTTGGAAAAAAAGAGTGTGGGCAAGCAGCTGTTGTCCTGGAAAGTGGCAGTCCCAAAGGTCAGGAGCACAAAGAAACAGGACTGGAGCAAGATAGCCCTGCCCTGGAGCTGAACACTGACCATTTTGGATATGGTTCTGGCTGCCACTGACTGTATATAAATGCTTCATTGATGTTTCTGTACTGGGAAGATCTTGACTGCACTCCAAGATGGGAAGGAAAAAGATGCTGACATTGCTACACTGAGTATATGTTTTAGCAATAAGGAACACTGGTCAATATACAACTGAAGAAAAACGGAAACAGATGTGCGTCCTAGAGCCGCAAGCATTTGAATTTGCCCAGAAATGCTATTTTAAATACTCTATATGTTGGTCTACTGGTGTGTGTGTGTGTGTGTGTGTGTGTGTGTGTGTGTGTGTGTAATAATGCATTCTTGGTTTCCTTTAAAGGCTTCAATATGTTACAAGGTTATCTGGAAAGAAAAGAGGGGGAGAAGGGGGGAAAAGGCAAAGGGCTAGCTAATGTATCAGTCTACAGTCCTGGCCAGATTCTGGTCTCCATTTCCAGAAAGAAGGAGGCCTTCTACTAATTGCATGTCACACAAGGAATCTTTCATTCCTGTTCTCTGCAGACCCTTGCTCTCTTTTCATAAAGACTGTCTTCAGATGGGGCACAGAGATGCCCCCACAAGACCCCTGGTCAACCTGAATACAGAGGCACAAAAGTTGTAGTGGCAAACACAAGAATACATACAGACATGCGTGCACACATGCATATCACACACATGTACATGCATGTGTGTGTATAAGTTAAAAGGCTGCTCAAGGGTGAGAGCGTGAGCCTTTTTGGTTCATCTCTGGGATGTTACAACAGCAACACACTCTAAAACAATTAAGTCGCATGCATAATGCCAAAAGAATTCAAGCAATCCTGTGACCAGCTTTAAGCCATCTGCTTGACTTCTTTCTCTCCTTTTGAAGGAACATATATAGGAGAAGAGAATTCCACTTTTGTTCCAATACATATAGAGCTCTATTGAGGTTTCCCAATAGTTCAGTTTTGGTTAAAAAAAAAATCCGTTCTTCTGTTATTTGAACACATAACTGCCCTAAGCTGTCTCTTGTGGCTTCAACTAAAAATATTTCTCTACATGAATTAGCTGAAGGACAACTGAAACCTCTTACCAATATACAAGTAACATTTTATTTTATATTCTATCTTCCATTGGCGTAAGCCTTCCGATGTTTTTTTTTAACCAGTGAAATATACAAATCACACAAGACAGAAATATGTACATTAAAAGTACAGAATATAGGCCATAGGGGATATACAAAATATCTGAATGACGCGTAGAATATCTTACATTAAATAGTTTTTTTTAAAGCTAGGATTGTTAAACTCCACTCTGCTCATAAACATGAAACACTAAAAAAGAACATAATCTGATTTATCAAATAAGAGAGAGAGAGAGAGAGAGAGAGAGAGAGAGAGAGAGAGGGGCAGGGAGGGAGGGAAGAAGGGAGGGAAGGAGGGAGGGAGAGAACTTCATGGTTTTTGTAGAATAAAAACCAAAAAGTGACATTTTAAACTAAATTAGTGCTTTTTTTTTTCATTTCAAGATCTTTTGCTTGCAAATTACCATAGCTGAGGGGAAATGAATCTTGTTGGGCAATAAGTTAAGAGCCACAGGACTGAGGTGACCAGAAGGCTACCAAGCCAATGAATGGATACATACATCTTTTCAAACCTTGAAAAAGAGTATCAGGCCTCGAAAACAACACAGCAGATGTCACTTTTGAAACAGAGGTGCCCTTATTTTAAAACATTGTTTAAGGTAGCTAGCTATGTGGTGAGCTGGTTTGCTTTGGGAACTCAGATCTTTCCTGTCAGACAGGATAGTCACAAGTCCTCCCTGGGAAAGGAATTAAGCAAATAGAGAGGAGTCTGGTGCCCCTGGGTTCTGGGAGCCTCTCAAAGTCCAAGACTGTGACAAACCACAATGCCCTCCCCACAAAGAACACCAATGAGAGGGTGGAGAACTGGCCGTAGGCAGAAAGCAGAAAGGCCACTTTCTAACCAACATGCATTCAAAACATGAACCCTGAGCGCTTCTTCAGAGTCTTTGCTTGCTTCCTGGTGTTCATGGTAGGATCCTGTGGAGTCACAGGCCAATGTCCAGATTCAAAAAATTTTGGAAAAAAGAAATCACAATTGGACTGCAATGAAGAACAATACTCCAGGCAGAGAGCAAGCCCAGAGCAAACTGTAAATCTAAATCCCAGACTGCACTGAGATATAATTATCTCTATATTTATATATGTATATTTATATATATATGTTATATACAAAAAAACTGAGATATCAGGCACCATTAAACCACACCCCCCCCTTATAAATGCAACTGTTCAAGTACACTGGGAACAGTTTTAGGGTACACCTGCAGGATAATAGGGAAAGCACTAATAGAAAGTCTAAACACAGGAATATAACAACCGAACAGCCGCAACACCTCTGTAGACTCCTTGGGCCGAGTGACATCAGCAAGACACATCAAGTTACCGCACCTCCAAAGAAAAGCCTTAGAGAACAATCCCTGCTAAGTAGCTGGTTTGGAGCATCGCTCTCATCTGCATCTCCTGCCCTACCGCCATGAGCATCCACCAGAGCTGCCATTTGGAAGCATGGCCAGCAGAGTCCAGAGAGGGCTTGGAGTCATGGAGGAAGGTGCTGCCATTATCTCCTCACAGAGGTGTTCTGCCCTTCTGCAGTGCTCAACTACATGGGATTTTCTTGTTGCCTGTGTAGGGGGATTTGAAAATGGGATTCATGGGTAATTTTTCATTTTTAAGAAAATAAGATGGCTTTCAAAACAAGACTTTTTTTTTTTTAGTCAAAATCCCTTCATGGACATGACGTTTAGTATTCAGAATCACCTGGGCTAACACCATAAGATTATGTCCTCGATGTAGGAAATTTCAAGTTTTCTAATTTCTGTGGACTTCCCTCCTCCAGCCCACCAGCTCCCCAAGTTTCATGAACTGTTAGAAAAAGGCACATCCATAAACAGAGTATCTGCAGATGAGATGTAGCAACATACGTGACATGCCTGCTTACGAAGATATGAGAGATTCTTGTTCATACCTTCTAAAAGACCATTCTAGAAATACGAAGAAAACCAGGCCAGTAACCTCTGGAGTAGGGAGTACCTCATATTCTGCATTTTTGGTATATATGTATATTTAATATATCTATATTTAAGATCTTTTGTCTTGTACCAGAGCACCTGCAATTCATTTTGGTCACAGGACTGGGTCACTCATGGGTCTGTACCACCTCTTTCACCTGGATACCACCCATCTCATAGGACTCTCTGTTTGAGAAGAAAATAGTTCCTATGCCTTCTAGATGTGAACCCCAACTGCACACCTAAGTTAGAATACGTGTTATTTCCCCTTTATCCTGTACCATAAGAAAGAAGTTTTGTACTAACTTTGCAAAGATCCTCAAAATAAATATTTTTCTTAGTTTCCCCCACTGTTGCCAAATATTAATTATAATATTAATAGTAAACCACAGAGTTTTTAGATGGTAACAAGAAAAAAAAAAACAACACATGGTTCCAGCTGCAATTCTTGGGGGAGAAATAAGAAGAACCAGAAGCACTGTACTTTCTATAAATAAGTGGGTCCTGGGAGTGGGGCTGGGTGATGGGCAGGCACACCACTATTTGCACACGAACTGATCCACAATCTCTGTGCATTTCTTGCATTTGACATAGCAGCACCAGTGAAACTTGCAGTGACAGCGTTCAGTCTGCACCGTCTTAAACTGGTCATAGCCACGCCCACAACACATGAGCTCGCAGCCGTCCATCCCCTCTGAGGTCTTGTTGCACAGGCGTCCCTGCGTGCCCAGCGAGCCAGTGCTCTCATTGCGCACACAGTAGTCCGGACTTGGGTCGATGTAGACCAGGTCCTGTGTGGTCGGGGAATTAAAGCGGCTGTTGACCTGTACCAGCTTGCCCCGGCTGTTCAGCCTCATGGCCGCTGCACTGTCATACTTCTCCTTGAGAGCATCGCCCACCTTTCGGAAGTCCGCCAACTGCAGCCAGCATGTCTTGAGGCTACACGAGCCAGACACTCCATGGCACTTACAGGCTACATCTGCCAGGTTGTATACTGTCTGTAGGAGGAAAGGGAGAAGGTTATTGTGCTAATCCTTGGAGGAGCTGAGATGCCAGCATGAGCCTAGTGAACACTTTGTAGAGGCAGCCATGTCCCTTGGCTGAATCAAGGGCTCTGTCTTCATTCGCCACCACTAGAAATATTGCCTTGCCTTCTTTGAAACTCTGCAACTCCTTAGTTTTTATCATTCCATCCACAACTATCACATTCAGATGGGAACAGAAAAAAACAAAAACAAAACATCCCAGAGGCCTCCAGTTTTGTGGGAGGGAAACGTTATCAGTACAATAAGGTCTCCATTTCTTGCTTATCCTATTTGAATGCAGACCCACATCCAAGCCTCTGAGGAATGTGGTACTACCCTTCTCTTCACAGAGAAGACAATGGAGGCCTAGAGAGAGAAGTTCCTGCCCAACCTCTGATCAGTGGGGAGTGGCAGGATTTGAACCCAGACAGTAGGACACCAAGCCCATGCTCAGTGACTTGGTAAGTGCTGAGTCGGGAAGGGGTCCATCCCCGTGGGATTAGGGTTTCAATGTTCACTCATTCTACTGTATTACTGTTTTATCTCAGCTGTCAGGACATGTGCTGTGACACCTGTGACCTCATCCAATCAGGCCAGCAGCTTTGTGGTATGTGCGGAAACAGGTGATAACATGGTGGCGTAGGAAGGAGGCTCACACAGACCACACAGCCAGGTTGTAGGGGAACTTGGTCTGGGTTTCAGTTATGCCCACTGCTATACCCTCTACAGCCCCTACTCTGACCTGTCCAACCCTAGGTCTCCAGGACCACCTTGCAGCCATGGACATAGAATGTCTGACTTTGCCCTTGAACTTAGGCAACTGGCTGCCCCTTTCTAAACCTATTTGGCATCTTTGGATGGTACCAACTTCCTACACAGTTAGCAGGATAAATTTGAAGAAGCCAAAGAAGCACTTGGCACTCTAAATCCACTCAGTAAACCTGGTCTTTCTCCAGGATGATGGGGCCATGGCCCTGGGCTTTTGCCCAGTCACCTCAGCCTCCCAGGAGCAGCACTCATAGGTCTGGCCCCACAGCACTGTGCCCAACAGTCTGGGAGGTGGTGGTTGACTATTTATAGTCCTGACTGCCCACAGTTCCTCATGCCAGCGACCTTCCAGAGTCATCATGGTATGGCAGTGCTGGCCAGGGCTTGTCCAGAACCCAGAGCTGCTTCTGCCCAAACAATTACCTTCCTCCTCCAAGGAATTATAAGGACTTTCTTTTAATAGGGGCCCACAGTACTTGCCATAAAGACTGTTAGACTGAGGAAGGTTTTGCAAATATGTTTAACCTTTGCTCCCTTTTAAAAGAAAACCAAAAGCTAATGTCCTAAGAAGTGTTAACATGATTTCCTGGCATAGTGTACAACTTTCTAAGGTACCCAATCTCTACTTTAGAGAAGAGTTGGTTTCTGTGCCTCTTACTGACCAAGATCGTTCCTTCAGCTCATCTTTCCCATGATAGAACAAAACTAAAGACATGGCACATTAGAAGATGCAAGGATCGGTATCAAGGGCAACAAAAATAGCAAAGTCACTTTTCAACTCCTCTGAGGTCCCTTTTGCCACTTGGAAAGGTTTAACCCTCTCCTGACAATGGACAAGCCGCTCAGGATTTCTCTCTGGGGAAGAAGCGATAAGGAAGTTCCAAAGATGGCCAGGGATATTTCTGGCTGGAGGTGCCAGTTGGATCCTACACAGAAGAGAAGATGCCAGGAGGATGGGATCCTGGAAATGTGCCCTTGGGGGTTTTCATAGAACGGAGCTGGGCCCCTCCTCTGCAATCACATGTGGACTTTTGACAATGATAACCTAGAGAGAGGAGTAGTCCCTAAGGTGAGCCAATACATGCTGTGCTTTCTCTGTGGCAACTACTTGTTCCCTCAGGGAGGCATAAACAAAATCTCATTGACACCTTCAGATGTTTAACATTTGCTTTGAGAGGAAGTTAGCTGGAATTATCTCCGTGATCTGTGGCTTCCCTAGGTCCCAGTATTCAGCCGTGTTTAATAATTAACATATCATTTATCAAGCACTGACGGCTGGCTGACTTTAAGCTACAATCTGAGGCTGAACCAAAGGAAACATTGCTGTAAGTCAGATTTCTTATGGTGTGGCCTAATACCTGACTTCACTTCACAATGACCGCCACAAGTGGGAGTGTTACCACGGCCACTGGAAGATGTGCAAATATGGACACTGAGGATCTGATTTTCAGTCAGCATCTCCAGTGACCATTCCCCTGCATTTCAGCCCTAAGCTCTGATGCATCTGTTTAAATAAGTTAACTGAGGCTTGTAACATAGATCCCACTGCTTTTCTTACGAAGCCGCTAAGTGGTTGGCCTCAGTTTCCCGATCTGTGAGATGTGGGTGTGGGGCCAGAGGATCTGTCCAGTCCTCTATGTTCTACTCTGTGATTATCTTCCTTTTTCCTCACCCCAAAATACAGAAGAGTGAAATCTCTGACCAAAAAGTTCCTGGCACCTACCTTGGGTTCTGTGAAAAACTAATGACCCTGGTTTTCAATGCTGCCAAAGTTAAGAAACATTTTCACCCCTTCATTTTAAAGCGGCCATAAAGTGCCATGTGTTTAACCGCAGGGGAAAAAAGGGTCTTTTAAAATATCTTGGAGTAGCTTTTCATATCCCCACCAGGGGAAGGAAAGAGGGGGAACCAGGAAGCTCAGGAAGGCTGAGGACAGACTGTCAGTTTCTCTTCTCTCTAGAGCCACCCTGGATTGGCTTGCTGGTCAGACTTAAGAAATGGCAAACTACTAAAACGTCTGTCCTTTCCCTAAAAAGGGCCCTTTAAAAAAACTCTCAGCCCATCAGGTCTGCTTCATAATGCCACAAGACAGACAGAGAAAAAGAGAGAGTGTCCAAGCTAAAGTGAGGGCTTGCTTGGTGCTTTCCCCAAAATAAAACCCAGTCACAAATGGTGAGCTCTACAACCCATCACTGGGGACCAGCTAAAAAGATATGCAACATACTTATCAGAAAACAGCTGGATCTCTAGAGTCCACTTATGGATCAGTCAGCTCCCTGTAGGGGGGAGGGCTTTCCAGAATGGCCCCCTTTCTCTAAAGAGGCTCATAAATGAGGAAGTGTCTTAAGGAAAAACAAACCTTTAGTCTGAACACTCACTGAGGAGGCAGAGGCAGGTGAATCGTTTGAGTCAGAGGCCAGCCTGGTCTACAGAGTGAGTTCCAGGACAGCCAGGGCTACACAGAGAAACCCTGTGTTGCAAAACCAAGAAAGGAAGAAACAGAGAAGGGGGGGGGAGAAAGGAGGAAGGATGGAAGAAAAGAAAGGAAGAGGGAGAAAAGAGAAGAAAAGAGAAAAGGAAAGAAAAGGGAAGGGAAGGGAAGGAAAGGAAAGGAAAGGAAAGGAAAGGAAAGGAAAGGAAAGGAAAGGAAAGGAAAGGAAAGGAAAGGAAAGGAAAGGAAAGGAAAGAAAGTCTGAGAGGAGCAGACCAGATAGAAGATACCAAGCATACACAGAAACCCCAAGGTATCCCTGAGTATCCCCAAGAGACCTGAACTGAGCTATAGTGGCAGGGGGTCCGAGCCCAACTCCTGTGTATCTGTGGAGGGAAAGTATGGGCCAGGGGTGAGGAAAGGTTGGGAATAAACGATATGGGGGGTTGGTGGTGGCAAGGGGACCATGGCACTCACCCTGCGGCCTGCTTCATTGTTGTGCAAGTTCATGAGGATGCGTGCGCTCTCATAGGAGCCCTTGGCATGGATTCGTTCCCTTTCTCGTGCGTCCACAAATTCCTTGGCGAAGCGGTAGCCATAGTCGATGTTGTCCCCACAGCCACCCCACAGCCAGTCCCGAGGCAGGTCCTTGGGGCGTGCAGCACGGCTGCACCCACAGGTAGACAGCTCACCCTCCCGGCATGCTCTGCTCATGGCATTCACCACCCCAGCAGCGCTCACCGCGTATGTGAAGGCCGTCTCTCGGCTGCCTGCGGTTAAGATGAGAAGGGTCACTAGATTGCCTATCCTACACAGAAGCCTAAATTTTGCTGCAAGGGGGTAGAGAACGCAGGATGCCACTAAGGCCCCTAACACAGCCCTGTACAGGCTGGAGAAGGCTGAGAGAGCCCCAACATACAACAATCTTAGGAGAGTTAGAGATCCCTCGTACATCAGGCCTTGGACTCAATTGTGGCGCTGGGGGAAACCACTTGTCAAAACACTGGAGCAAACAGTTCTCAGGCCCATTGAGGGCAGAAGAAAGACTAGATAGCAACCCATGCAGAGAGAAGAGGAAGCCCTAACACATAGAAAACCTGTATTATTTGGTAAAGGAGAGAGAGCCTCCACCCCCCACCCCCACCCCCCATTCCTCAGCTGCTACTGAAGTGAACAGGCAGAGATAAACCTCAAGCTGACTTCCCAAACCGCGCCCCACCCCAAAATGTACACCCAGGCTCTGGGCCCACCTTGAGGCATTCGAAGCAGCAACAATTAACAAAGGAGACAGGAATACCTGCCTTTGCTGGGATCTTTTAGGGCCTAGGCAGTACTCCAACACTGCTGGCTTGATTTTTCATTAACCCCATTTGAAGATATTCAAAATGTCTTATTTCCAAAAATGCACATGAAAGAAGTCATTGAAGGAAAGCTCAGAACTAGGCTAGACTTTTTTTTTACCCTTGTTCTAATGTGGATATTATTTTCATCTTGAACAGAACAGAATTCGCTAGACTTAGAAGCCTCTGAATCTCGGGTCCCCATCCTCAGCCAGACAATGCCTGACACCCTCTCTCTGTAGCTATAATCTCTTCCCTGATATGGGACCCTCTGAGCTCTCCACTCTTTACCAGTCTGTACAACAGTTCTAAACCTGCCCTGAAATTTTCTCATTTGAGAATGAGCAGTTAAGGTTTTTGTTGTTGTTTGGTTGGTTGGTTGTTTTTTTCGCTTGTTGGTTTGGTTCCGTTTGATTTGGCTTCTCAAGACATGGAGGTTTGTGTGTGTGTGTGTGTGTGTGTGTGTGTGTGTGTGTGTGTAGCCCTGGCTGTCCTGGAACTCACTCTGTAGACCAGGCTGGCCTCAAACTCAAAGATCTGCCCGCCTCTGCCTTCAGAGTGCTGGGATTAAAAGTGCATGCTGCCTCCACCATGACCACCACCCCTACAGGAGGAATGAGCAATTACGTTTAAAACAGCCTCCTGGTTCTTCTTGATTGCACATTTACTACTGCCCTGTACCACTGGACTCTCCCACCCTATGCTCTATTCATGGCCTTTGCCTGAAGTGGTGAGATGACAAGAGAAAAGAAAAAGGGAACAAACTCAGGGCTAATTGGGGGTGTGGTGGGTGGGGAGTAGAAAGTGTACCAATCATGTTCCTGTAGAACACTCATGGGCACCCTATCCACAAACACAAGCCTGAGTTCTACTTACATACAGAGAAGTCTCTAAGGTAGCAAGAAGCAACTTGATAAACAGCTGCACTGTGGGAGAGAAAGGGTTAACGTTCTGCCAGTTGAATGAAGCTGGGCCTGCTTTTAGGGGAAAGATTGGTATGCCTCACTTTCAAAATCAACTGTAAAATAAGGGTATTGAAATGGATGCCCACGAAATAAAGGTCCCTTCTGATGCTAAAATCCCCTGTACCAGACTGGATTTCTCATACAGTTAGAAAGCTGGCAAGCAATCTTTATGAAGCAGGAACAGAACAAAGACAGCTGATCTCAGCCGGACTTAGCCAGCTCCAAAGAGAAGGTCTATCCAGGAGGATGGTCCTGCTGACTCTGGTGCCTGCCCTCTCCAGGAATAATTCTGTCCCACAGATCCCTGGGGCCCGTTGGTGATTCCCAGGAAGTACTATGACTTCAAGTCATACAGCCCCCCCCCCCCTGCATTCAACAAATGAATAACTTCAGGAGTTTGCTGGTGGCTGGCAGGAAGATGGAACCAGAAAGTTCCAGTGGGGCTTTATGTCTGTCTAAATCAAATTAGATGGCGGAGTACTACGTTGGGAGAGTGGAAACAAAGAGGAGTGCAGACAGACTGGTGGGAGTTATTTGAAGATTAACACTGATAATATGGAAAGTGCTGTGGCCTGAGCAGGAGAGGGCTATGGAATAAAAGTGTTGTGGGTAGAGGAAGAGAAGAGAAAATGATCCTCAGAGGACAGAGTGGGGTGAGACACTGCCCTTTGAATGCACAGAGCAGAAAGGGCTTTTATACAAAACACAAATCGCTATAGCATTTTCCCCCCATAGATCTAGCGCAATCATTTTGATTTTCATCCAGGATACAAAACCTGGTAGGAGTCTCTTAAGTGTTGACTGTGGAAAAACAGCAGTTTAAAGAGAGCTGCTTGGCTGGGGGGTGGGGGGGCGCTGTGTGTCTCTCTATGGTCGCTAGTTTGGTTAAGTCTCCCTCTGCATGAAATCTAGCCTGACTTGGATCCTAACATCCCTTAAAAAGGGTGCCTTCCTGACATCTTTTCACAGTAGAGAAACAAAGACAGGAGAGAGACAAAAGCTGGTTAGGAAAGGGGAACATGGGTGAAAAATGAGAATGTTTCCAAAATGAAGCTAGGGGCCCTTCAGGAGGCGGCTGTGCTCAGTGCCTCCAGGGCAACTGGCACCTTAGAAAAATGAGCCTGGAAAGGGGTCAGAGGTAGCAGCAGGAGCTTCTCAGACACTGGCCCCTCACAGAGTCAGAGTCTCACAGACAAGTGTTACTCTCCACATCCCTGGGATCCTGAGAGTTTTGTCGTGACCTTGGGCACCAAAGGTGTTTTCAACTCTCCCAAAACTCATTGACTTCAAGCAAAGCCAGAGCTAGGAAAAAGAAGGCAAAGACTTATTTCCATTCTTGGAGTTCAGTCTCTGCTCCTTCTCATCCAGAAAATTCATTATAATTTTCCCACTCTCCTTCCCTTCTTTCAAATATAAGAAACAGAAAAGCCTTTTATGAATCAAACCTAAGCCGCCAGGTGGCTTTCTGCTCTAGGACAACCAGGTACTTGGGAACCTCTAGCCAGTGAAGACACATCCTGTGCTTCCTGGAGCATCAGATGACCCACACATAGCACTAGTCACTCTCTCCAGACTGTGAGAGGGTGGAACTCACACAAGTCCCACCACCCAGTCCCTAACAGGGAATACCACATAGTCGAAGACCAAAGAGGGGACTTGCAATGGACAGTTAAATGCAGGCCTTTGGAGTAGGAGCTCTGATCAGGCCCTGAGGACACAGGCACTTCGAATCTTGGACCACATTTCAAATGAATCTTTTAGCAGTACTTAGATTCACTTAGCAAAGGAGAGCTTATTTGGTACAATCTTGCCTAGAGCAGGCCTCCTGTCAAGGATGAGATGGGAAAGGAGGATGTTCAATCAAAGCTGTGTTCATGTGAGTTCACTTGAAACTGCCACCTTCCCCTGGCTTTTTCTAACTTCCGTCCCTGTGAGAACACAGTGGTTTTAAAGGCAGCCAAGGTGCTTATAAAGGAAACACCCAACAACACTTGCCATTTAGATAGAATTTTGAAGGAGGTTTTAACTTCTCTCTTGAAGTTTCAGACGGCAGAAGTAAGGTCCCTACCATATCCCCATTTGACTACTTTAAAACAGTCTATATCTAGGGACCATTCCTGGTTCCCTAGACTTTGCTACTCCAGTCCGACCCCAGAATATACATTAGCACACTTTAATCATTGACAGAAAAGACAAAGCCCCATGAACCTTTCAGGCTGGAGCTGCAGGCTCTTCCCCCACTGGATCAGAGGAGTGTTTTCAAACCTGTGTTATTTTAGTATATGAAGCCCTTTGGCTCAAGCATCAACTGACAACTCTTTTTTGTTCTCAATGAATGCACTTTTTAGGGTTTTCTTTCCAAAGTATTTTATCCATCTGTGATGGATAGTAAGCCAACTCTTTATCTCCAGTCAGTATAAACAGTTAATTGCCTTGATAAATTGCCTCTTACTTTTGGAGTCACTGCAGTCATATTAATTATAAGGGCTTGTTTGCATAAAACTAAAGAGACCTAAAATATTCACACTAGAAATCACACAGGGCCCATCTGTCAAGTAGGATCCCAGACTACTGCAGAAAACCACAGACAAACTGAGTTTTCAATTTTTTTTTCCCTTTTGGTCCAGTTTAAATGCTATCTCCTCCCTGAATGCAACAACAAACTCAACAACATATTTGAAATTAAAACTCAAGCTGTACACAAAACACTTAAAGTTGTTATTTCAAAGTTTCTAGGTTGAAAGCCCAAGTGTGTATATTTCTGGCAGTTGTCAAAACTCACACACACAAATTGTATCACTTCTTATTAAAATTCTTTCTGGGACTAAAAATAAAGCTTTTAACTTTATATATCTCTGTAGCCTCAGGAAATGTCTATATTAGGAAAATTAAAACCTTACTGCCGGCATTGCCAGCGTTCTGAAAGATGACAGCTTGGGCCATTTGGATTGTGGCTTAAGACACTTACAACCATAAGAAGGGTTTTCAGATTTAAAAGGGTTTAAATAGCTCGGCTTTGCCCCATCTACTTTTGATCAATCAAAGCAAGTATCCTGCTTCTACTTTAAATGAAATACATTTTACAAAAAACAAAGTGTCCCAGGGAATGATGGGATCTGGCGTCCTCCTGCTGATCCGTTTCAAGGAGTTAAAAACTACAATCAGAAGTGGGAATCAGAATTAATATTATCCTGGAAAATGACACAGTCATTAAGCCATCACCCAGGCTGTAAAGCAGACAGCTCAAGCATTCAAGCAAAAGTAAAGGCCCATGCAGACAAAGTTGATTAGCATCCAAACGTGTCCTACCTATTTGCATCACCCTGCCAAAGACAGAAGTATTGTCCACTGTGCTGCAGTTCCATCTCCGATGCCGAAATTGGTACTGGCATTCCTTGATGCCTGTCTTCGCGCCTTCTCCAATGTACTGCATGTGGTCCTGATACAAGTGGCAGAGTTTCTTCTGTCCTTGAGAAAGTCCTGCCAGTTGGCTGCAGAGAGGCTGTGCACCTATGATATATACTTCTGACATCTGAACAGGGTTATTCATACCTAGCGACCTGCAAAGGGGAGGGGGAGATGTTCATTCAAGATTTACGTGAACTCTAGAGGTAGCTCCCTCCTCCCTGAAAACATGTCAGCCATACAGGGCTTGAAGCAAACAGATGCCTTTTCTCTCCTGTTTGTCTGCATGACAAAGTAGGAGAAGGGCTTCATAGAACTCCTCTGTTTAAACTCTGCAGAAAACAGAGGTATTGTGCAGTCCCTACCCGGCCATCTGGCTCCCTTAGTCAGAGTTTTCATTGCCTTCTTCTCCAGTCACCACATACCTGACCCAGTATTTCTGAGAGTCACCGAGAAAAAGGGAAAGTGGAGATTTTAAGAGACCAGCCGTTGGCTTTAGAGAAAGTGACTAGATGCCTACAAGGTAAATGGATCCTCCTCAAAAACTCAAGAACCTCCTCAAAAGTAGGGATAATTAGGTAGGAGATAGCAGTAGCTTCTGAGGAATGGAAGTACAGATGGGGATGTCTGTACAGACTGAAGAAAATACCCCATGATCTCAGACACGTTAAAGGGGATTCTTAAGTGAATGTGGAGTATCCAAGCTAGGAAATTCAGTGACCAGAAGTCACATTTGACAGTCAGAAAAAAAAAAAATGCTACTCCGTTACCAGGGAGAAAATATCCAGAACGCTGCCACACAAGATCCCCTGGATACACTGCAGTCCAGAGAGAAATCCTTATTTAGGGACATTTGACTATTTCAAGTTCACCTCCCTTTGATCAAATTTCAAGTGCAAATACTCTTTATTTGGGGGTTAGATGTCTTTTAGGACTCTGCTGCTTCAGACACTGTGGGTTAATAACCTCAAACGACAGAAAAATAAAAAGTAAACTCATTGTTATTTTACCTGGTAGGTAGGGGATGGCAAAAGTAAACTTTATAGATATGCTTACAATTATTAAAGAAATGCACTTCCCTTTTAGTACACGATGTTACTGCAAGCCCACGTCTCAACAAGGGCCTCATAGAAAAAGGCTGAGATTTATATATTCGGGTTTCGTCGTGGAACTGAGTGTATGATTTACAAAATGAGTGGGTTACAAGAAAATTCATATTTTAAAAGCTCATAGAACACATACCCATCTATATTAGATGAAGGTACCCATGCTCTCTCTCCGGCTTTCAATGTTATAGCATAACGCAAGTGTACTTTTTACAAAAGGAAGAATAGGCACACAGAATCAACTTACCACCAAGAATTAGCTTCTATTACAACCTGGGCGAAGGAGAAAAATGTGGCCAAAGCCATTAGGAAGAACTTGGAAGACATGGCACCTCCAGCGATCCCCAAAGCCACTCCCGGGCTTAATATTCCAATGGGCTTCTGGAGAGGGAAAAAAGGAGCAGATGTTTATTGCCTTCAGATAATTTTCAAGCATACAAGTTTAAACAACGGAACATCCGAGGTTGATTGACTGCGCTTCTCCTCCGTGAGGTTTTTGATGGCAAGATATAGGCAGTTTCTTTTTCCAAATTAATCCACCCACGCAACCTCACCAGGAAATCTTATTTCGCTAGGATACTGCGCGCAGGGCACGCCAGCGATTACAAACAAGTCTCAATGCTGTTCAGTCAAAACCCGGGTACCAGACTTCCTGCAACTTCTAGTCCCGCACCCCCTCGCTTGCCTCTAGCTTCCCGCTGAGCTCTGTCCCTCCCAGAAAATTCACTCAGGAGCCCGCCGCCACCCTCGTCCTCTCCCGGACCTGGGCCGGAGCAACAAGTGGAGCCAGAATTAATTCCATGGGCGAGAGGAGCGCGAAGGCGAGTGGAGCGCACTGCCGGAGGCTGCCGAGGAGGCGGGGTGGCCGGCGCGGGGGTGGGGGTGGGGGCAGGACGCGGGAGGGAAGGGCAGGGGGTGGGGGCGAGGCCCCAGGGACCAGCGCGGCGCGCGAGTGCCCAGCTGGGAAATGCAGCTCCGAATTAACATCGTATGTTTTATAATCAGTTTACGGGCCGATTTTGAGAAAGCCACTTCCAGATGGGGAAGAGCAGCCTGGATTTCCTTTAGGATCTGCTTCAGCCAGTTGGGGCGGGGAGTAGATGGAGTTGGGGGGTAAGGGATAATGAATGGGAAGAGGGTCGGCTCTCCCACCCCAGGGAACCCGGAAAGCCTGCCCCCTCCTGCTAGCAGCCTCCTATCTGTCTGAGAGGAGGTGTAGGTCTCGGGTAGAAAGAAGTATCCGCTTCAGTTCCTTTAAGAGGATCTTTCCCCTACCCTTTCCTTCCCTTGGACCCCATTATTCTGAATTTTTAACTCTCCCTCTGGCCCCCACGTCCAGCAGCGGCTGGGGGGCGGGGCGAAAACCACGGAGAGCCTGTTGTTTCTCTTGGAGTTGTCCCCATGTTTTCATCGCACCACTGCGGGCCAGTGTCTTGAAGTACACTGCCACCCTGCCTCCAGTTTAGCCTCTCTGGCCCTAGTCAGGCTCAGTTCATTCAGTTCCAAAAGGTTGGCAAACGGGCCGAGGCGACAGGTCCCCAAACGGAGCCAGTTCCCAAGCATCATCAGTGCCCCTGGCCTCCAGGGCGCAGGGAGCCGGGCGGAGAAGTTTCCTTCCTGAAGATATTCGGGGGCAGAAAGTTCTCAGGCTGATCCCACTGGAGACTTTTCCACCTGCAGGCGGCGGCGGAGAGAAGAGTATGGGTAGGAGGAGCAGGTTTCCAACGTTCCCCTTTACGTCTCTGATAAGTGTAACTCTGTGATGCCCGGAGCCCCTGAGGGAGTCCCTTCTTTTGGAAAGGCAAGAAAGGTGAACCTCTTCCAGGCGAAGGCCCTGCTGAGACCAGCTCCGTAAAAGGGATGAAGGGGACCCTGTACGCAGTAGAAACGCTAAGGGGCCCTGGAGCAGGCCGTAGCTTTCCTTTCCGAGCCACCCCTTTGGCTTGGACACCTCCGGGCTCCTGGAAGAGGAGCTTATGTGCTTCCCAGTGCCAGCTAACCAGTGATCTGAGCCTCAGCTCGGCCGTCCCCAAAGCACTGCAAAGCTGGGGACGCATCCTGGAGAGAATGGAAATCTGGAGTTTCCCCAGTCTAAGAGAAAGAAGGTTCAGTCTCCTTCCCTACCCCCGCCTGAAGTGTCAAGTTTCCTCCAGGGGAGGGGTGGGCTTCAGGGTCTTTCTTTGCGCGCGGCCCAGGCTGCAAAGGCTAGAGTCCCCAGTGGAGGCTAAAACCATGCACTAATGTGTGTGTGTGTGTGTGCGCGCACACACACACACACACACACACCACATCCATACACACCCTCGTGCACACTTACACACACGTATGCACAGACACACACGTTGCGAAGGGCTCTCAAATCGCGGCGGGTCTCACTAACTTTTGGAGCTTCACGGCGGGCGGGGCGCGCGGGGCGGGGCGCGGGTGGTGGAGAAATTGATAACAGATTCGGCGGATTACAGGGAATCTCTTTGTTAGAGCCGAAACCACACAAACCGAACCCTATACCGACCCGACGCCCCCAGGGCAAATCCACCAGTTCCCAGAACCCGGCCAACAGAGAGTGGAGGCACCGGGTTTACTCAGCTCCGGTCTCCTCCGTTACAGATTAGGGGTGTCCCATGGAGATCCACCGGAGAGCCCCGAGAGCAGCATGTGCCTTGGACCCCCTGCACTTGCCTGGAAACACCTAGGTTTTCTTTCCTCTCCAGTCAGTCGCAGCCCCACAAATCTGAACGATTTCAAGGGACTCACTAAAGAACACCGCCACTCTAGAGTGTAAAACATCCGACCCGGTGAGTTTCGGAGAGATCCGAAGCGAAGAAAACGATGTGGAAGGAGAACTTTCGGGAAACTGCCGCAACAGGGTTAAAAGAAAAGTTCTGGTCAAAATTATCCTGAGAAAGAGCCAAATGTTTTCCAATAGGGGCTCGGAGAAAGCAGACTGAGAAGCCGGAGCATCCGTCCTTGCCGGGCGTACAGTGGAGGGTGCGGGCTTTTAAGAGGTGCAGCGCAGGGGTGGGTGAAGTGAAGGAAAAGCATTTGCGGGTCTTGAAGCCAGAGCAGCTCAATCTGGATGGTGCTGCTTCCCCATAAAGGAACTCCCAAAGCCTTCAGGGTGGACTAGACGAAAGGTGCAGGCTGTAGCGCTGCTCTTAGGTGCCAACACGAGGGAAAGGGAAGTTAGTAAGGAAAGACGACTCCCTCGATCTAGATAGCTACAGGACACACGCAAAAGTGTTCCGCTCCCAAGTGCAGAAACAGGCGGTCCTTTAAGGCAAACACCAGAGAGGCTAGGCACACAGTCTTTCTCGAGAGTCAGGGGGTCGGGAAGTAGGTGGCAGTGGCTCTACTTCACAGTCGGGTCATTTCCTTCTTTCTGCTAGACTCTACATTTAGGGCCCACGTCTGGGAGTGGAAATGAGAGATGCCAACTAGGCGGAAGAAGAGGGTGACCCAGGCTCCCGGTGGCGAAAAGGAAGATGGGAAACTCCCAGATCTCTGTTCTTGAAGAGATGGAAACTGAACAGTGTTCTCCAGTCTGCTCTTTCTCTGAACCAAGAAGATAAGACGGATGGAGAAACTTGAGAGAGGGAAACTCCGTCACTGGCACAAACTTGGTTCTCCGGCTTCAAGAACGGCAGAAAGAAGACCTTGAAGAAATGACCAGTAGGGTGTCTGCTTAAGGGGGAGTAGATAAAGGGAACTGTTGCTCCCCATTTTTTTTCCGGGCCTGGTCCCAGCTGAACTGTAACTGCCCCACTCCATGAAAACGTGTGGCCAGGGCACATGCAGCAGGAAGAAATAGCCAGTGAGATAAACCGGAGGTTGTCTGGAGCTGCAGTCTGAGTAAGAAACCTGAAAAGTTCCCGAGTGACCTAGAATTGCCAGGAGTTCAGAGAACAGTAATAGTCCAGGAAATAAACTTTTCTACCTTTTCCTAAGCCTCAGTGATGTACCTTAGGACTCTCCAGGGCCCACACACAATTACCTTGCCTAACTGAGCACAGAGTCATCTGTCTAAAACTGAGTTGTGCAGCCCCGAGAGAGTGAGAAATTAAAGATCAGTTCAGTCCACAATCTTTACAGGGTTTTTTTTAAATAGATGAAGTTCATAAACGAAGACGAAATCACTGTCTTTGTTTCTGTGTTTAATAGATGAAGAAGCAGAGGCTGAGAGAGGGAACCGCAACAAGCATCCAGGAACACAGAAAGAATTGGTGAGACAACCAGGGCCACACCCGAGGCCTCCTACAGTGACACTCCCTCACCACTGACCAGAAAAGGTCCTTTTGTCCAAATTGCCCAAGGCCTTTTTGCTGGGTTACACTTATATCTCTTTTCTATTCAAAGCTCAGGACAACTCAGACTGTCCCCTGGCAGAGAACTTAGAAGGGTCTTGGTGGGAGAGTGGAGCTGAGTTGTCACCAGGGGTTCAAGATGAAGGACTGGAACTCAGAAGGTCCTTACTTGCAGATGGCCAATAGGGGGCAGCCGGCACCGCGCGGCCGGTTAGAAAGGCCGTGTTAAAGCTCAGAGTTTTGCCGGCACGTAGCGCGCCCCTTGTGCACAGGAGCGCTCTGGAAAGGAAGACCAGGGTCTCGGTCTGGGCCTCCTTCGGAGGATCTAGAGCCGAACCGCCAAGAAGACTAAAGTCGGCTTGTCAAAGACATATCTCTAGCTCCCCGAGCCCCCAAAGCAGAACAAGGGTCCCAATGCGCACACCCATACCCTACTTTCCGCCATTCCTTAGTCGCTGGGTACTTACGACACAGTCTCCTCCAACCTCCCCCCCCAAAAAAAACCCAAACCCAACCAACCAACCAACCAACCAACCAAACAAACAAACAAACAAACAAAAACCTTCGTCTGTTGGAAAATGTCTTCAAACCAAATCTGACTAAGGTGTGCTAACGTTGTCAAGACAGCAGAGACTCAAGGAGGTGCGACCTCATCGCCGGGCCCAAGTTATTTGCCTAGAGCGAATTGTCCATTTAAAGAACGACCACGGAGCCGTGTCTCGGACAGGGCATAGAGGATAAAACAGGGCCTTAGAAGCACCAGAGTTTTAAACCCTGTCTTTGAAGAAAGAAGGTTGTTTGCTTTTAAGAAACAGCTTCGTTCCGATTTTCATCTTACACCCTACTAGAAAGCTCGAACCGAGAGATATGAAGTATAAATGGAAATTGTTATCGAGACATGGAGGGCAACCAGAGGAAACGTTGTTTAGAAAATTGCTAGTTATATTCCAAGACGAAACGTTAACTTTTTTGTAAAAGTGAACTCTCGGTGACCCTCAGAGTGTGTGACTCGGCTTTAACATACAACTGACAATTAAAACAAACACGAGTTCACAAACTAACCCCCGCCCGCTCTCGCAACGCAGAGGCCCTAGAGTCTCTAAAGCACTAGGCTGACTCCACTCAGGGGGTAGGATTAAAGCCACTAGGACCACTACTCCCCGCCCCCAATGCTGCAGTAAAGGACCTGAGCTCACCCAGAGGCCTCTAATAAAGCTAATAACGCGACCCCGCTCCCAGCGCGGGGTGCGCTCTGGCCCCCCGCCAGGCACTCTTAAAGGCACAGGGGCCGGGAACGCTCGGGTTACTCGACCTGGAGAGCCGGGAACTGGGCCCTGATCTGAGGTTGGGGGTGGGGAGTGCATTGCTCTAGGGTAGGTGGCCCCTAGTTTCCCTAGTCTCGCAGCCGTTTCTCCTAACCCAGTCCTCATCCAGCCTCAGATCTCCAACCACACAGTCTCCGCGTGCCGCAGAAATGAGCGTTTGATATATACTTGATGAATCGAATCATTATCCAGTCTCTGAAATACACATAGTAAAACTACACTCCGGGCTTTCGAAGTAAAAAAGAACGCCATCTATGACCCGAGCTATCTTTCCTGTCCCCGCTCTTCTCCATAGTTGAAAAGGTTTGAAGAATAGCCGGTGCAAAAAGTCTCCAAGGACGCAGAGACAGTGTCCCCAGGGTAAGGGACGAAAAGATAGGAGTCCCTGCCAGCGATACTAGAGTTTAGTTTTCTGTAGGCAGTTAGAGAAATGGAGGGGATAGGGATAATCTGAAAGAGTTCAGTTAACTTTGAAAAGAAAAAAAAGTAGGGAGCGTCCGTGCGCACAGAACACTTACCTTCATGGCGAGGGGGAGGGGGCGCGGAGAGGAAGTCGCCACCCGAGCGAAGGAGGCCGAGGAATTCAAGCGAAGCGTCGGGGTTAAGCCTGGGGGGACGATCCAAAGCAGGGTTGCGAAGTCCTCCTGGGCGCGTCGGGTGGGCGCAACGACCCGGAGCGGAAGCGAGCACTGGAGCCTGGGCTCAGGCTGCGGAGCTGGTATAGCGTGGAAACGAGCCCAGGAACCGAGAGGGCGCCGGCGCGCGCGGGCGAGCAGCAAGCGCAGGGCCGAGCGGGGACACAGTGCAGGAGCCGCAGGTCCGACGAGGGCGCGCAGGCGACTGTTCCGCGGCGAGGCGCTCCCTCTCTAACGTCCATCAGCGACGGCGGTAATTAGGGCTTTCCAACCCCAAATGTGGGCGTGATTGTGCAAAAGACTTTACAACAAATAATAAAAAAAATTCTTCACAAGAAGGTGAAAAAAATGCCCCACTACTCAACTGTGGCCCGAGGCGGGGAAGGAGGAGGGGGCAATCCCTGTGCCCAAGATGCCCCCAGTTCATTCACACCACGAATTCTGCAGACTCCTGGTGGCTCACGCCTCCTGATTGTCAGCTCCTCCTCTCCGGGTCTGAGACCGAAACGTCTGCTTCCCGGGGCTGCTCCTGCAGCTGAGTTAGCTAGTGGACGTCTGTGTATACACAGACACACACCCAAACACACAGACACACAGACACACACACAGAGACACGGAGACACGCTCGCACACAGACACACACGCAGCAGCAGTAGCCGCCGCCGCAGCAGCAGCAGCAGCTTTGGGGCCACAGAACAATCAGGCACGCATGGTTTTTTCTCCGAGTGATGAGGCTGAAATCGCACAAGTCGCCATCAGAGCTTCAAGAGTCAGCGCCAAATTTTGTCCTTTCATTTTAGAATCTGGCAAAAAGCGGGCGCAAAAAAAAAAAAAATGGGTTCAAGGCAGCCCTGAACTTTCTGCCGCTTGGTGGCTTGAGCCGTTGATGGACAGCTAGCCCGTGGGGAACGTTGGCTTCCCCCTTCTGGTCCCCTTCTTCTTTCTTTCTTTCTTTCTTCGGGTTAACCTCCTTCTTTCCACCCCCTGCCTTTCCAGGGCGAACAGAGCAAGAGGACGGAGGGCGCGGAGCTCCGCGGCGGAGACTCAACTCCAGAGGTCCATGGCGGCCAAGGCTGCCCACCTCCTCGGTCGCGGCCGGGGTCCGAGGGGCGGTCGTGGGGCCCGGCGGAGGCCGCGGAAGGAGCTTGCGAAGCGGCGGCCGCACGAACCGGACTCCGGCGGCGGAGGCGGTGCCTCGGAGCCTGCAGCAACTTTCCACGCGATGCGGTGCCCCACAGACTGACTGCCCCAGCGTGGGGACCGCGTGTCCCCCCCACCCCCCGGCCCTCCTGATCAGCTCCCTCACTTTCGCCTTCCCTCTCTCCAGACTCCTCTTTCCCTTGGTGTTCTCAGCGAAAAAAAAAATATTTTTAAAGTTGCAGAACCAAACGCGGCTGGAGAGGCAAAGGGAGGTGGGGGGGGGGGAGAAAAAAGTCAACTTTGCCTATGCGCATGCGTGGTGAGGCTGTCCTATGACAAACTTCACAGGATTTTAAAGCTGTACTACGGGCCGGGGTGCCGGGAGGCGGGGTACGCTCCCCCTTGGGCCCCCTCCTCAAGGCTTCCCATCCCCCAGGCATCTGTTGAAAGAAGTCCATTCCGCTGCTGTTGCCTGCCCGCCTCCTGACTGGCTCAGCTTCTTCCAAAGTCATCGACCCGGTTGAGAGGCTGAACCCCAACTTTCCAAACCAGACCCCTTGGCTCAACTTTCCCAAACTGCATTTACTGGGGCCTCTACAGAAACGACCTCACTGACACGGATCCTTGTCAAGATGTCTCCTTCTTATGCCCTGGAGAGAGCAGTTAAAGCCTGGGCTTGGAGAGTAAGGTGGGCTCGCGCATCCTGCAAAGTCCCTGTTGTCCTAGATGTTTGCTAGACAGGATTGCTCCTCACACCAACGCGGCCAGGCAAGAGTAGAGGTCATGCTGCAGGTACGGATCTAGGTGGCTGCTCTCAGGTGAGAAGACTGTGAAGTTTAGGTGAACCAGGGGATCCAGACTCCTCAAATTCTAGACACTTCTAGATAGCTGACATTGTTAAGACTTCGATTGGACAGAGTTGATGGCTATGCACCACCCCATCCTCCAGCATGCCATGGTGCCATGCTCAAACGGTGTCTCAGAGAATAGGGCAATTCGTTTCTTCGTCTGTCCCATCTTCCAGTGTTCAAGGGTAAAAGATAAACACACACCACACTACACACACTACAAACACACACACACACTGCCACTCCCCACCCCCACACATACCACATACACACTCCACACACACTCTACATGTACACACAACACAGACACACTATACACACAACACATACATACACCAGATATACACACACCACACATGTACCACACCACACACACATACCCCACTCACTCATAAGAGTCAGTTGTCTTCATCCACTGGTTTGCCTTTGACCTAAGCTCTTGGTGCCGACACCCTGTTTGCTCTTGGTTTGCTACCCTGTGCCTCACCCCATCCCCAGCAGCCCACCCTAGAGTATGCATAAGCCACAAGTTCAGCACTAGAGATGTTACTGCTCCACCACTGACCCAGCCACATATGTACCTACTGACTGATTGCCTCCCTTCACTGTTCATTTGTTGGAAGTGCAAACTGGGAAAGATGGATGGATTTGGACCATTTCCCCACTGGATTTCTTTTGCTAAGAATGCTTGTAGTCCCAAGAAAAGCCAGAAGTTCTCAAAACCTTGGGCTTTTTTTCCCCTCCAGCTCTCTCTAGGCTTACGTCCCTTATCGATCTCAGACATTCCACAATTTTCCATGTAGCTTTAGATCTGCACACTTGAGGGGGGAAAAGTGAGGGCTTTTTTCCCCCCAATCAGGAGAATTGCTTCCAGGCTCTCTCTCCTCTCTTTGCTTTCTTTCCAGCTATTCAGCTCTGTAGCTGCAGCTGCAAAGAAATTCCCATGCCCCTCCACCCCTAGCCCAGGTGTCCCCAGGCAGGCATCCCAGCTCTGTCTTGGGCTACCTCATCTCCAGGATACAACTCACCAGTGGCTGTTGAAAACAAGCAGGGAGTAGCTGTGAACAGAGCTACACAAAGGGCAGGGAAGCTCCCTGACTCCCAAGTGCCCTGGATTCCAGAGGCAGGCCACATAAATGGACAGGACAGAAGACAAAATCCATTTACAGTCAAAGCAAGTATTTCCTTTATTTTACTTAGCTGTTGCCTGAGTTACCTGAAGAATTGCTTGCTTCTCTATGGTTGCCTTTTTGGGTTAGATCCAGCTTCAATGGTTCATCCCTTGATCCTCTTGTGGAAGATGGAGTCTGCAGTCCTAGATATCCTCCCCTGCTACTTTGTAGATGTTCACAAGACCCCTCTGCACTTCCATATCTTCTGAAACACACACACACACACACACCACAAACAAAACCAAACAGAAAGTAGACAGCACACACAGGAGGGCACTTAGAGGGGACTAGAGTGAGTGGCTTTTACAGCTAGAGAGTTGTAAGACGGCACCAAGATGACAACAGAAACACCAAGTCTGGGCTAAGCACTCAATGTTGTTAGACACTGACTTTTCTAGAAAAAAAAAATCAGCTCTGAAAATGGAGGATTTTTTTTTTTTGCAAACCCCCTTTGTAGTATGCAAATGTTGACTAGACCATTCTAACTGTTGCTTATTTCACTGCCAGAGAATGTTCACCCTTCCAACTGAAGAAATACAACATACTTGATTATTAGCTATTTCCCTAGACATCAGGATTGCTATTTGAATCATATACTATATTTTATCATTCAAGAAAAAAAAATTGGCAAGATTTCCAGCAAACTTATCTAGTCCCAATGACTTCACATAAAGGGATGAGAGCTTTGGAGCTGGTGGTTTTAATAATGGTTGCAGAGAGCTATGCTACTGGAACCCTGAGCTCCAAGTACTGAAGACCTCAGTCCTGTCCTTCAGACCTGAACAAAATCCCCTTTGAGTCTTTAGTGAGGGGCCAAGGGCGAGTACCCTGGAAAGCTAGCCTGTATTCTAAGAAGCAGCTCCTTGGTGGGTGCTAGCTGGCTTAATTGGGAAACCAACAGATGAAAAAGGGAGAAATCAATGTCTGTCCACTTGGGAAGGCTCCCAAAGGAGAGCCTCCAGTTTGTGGAAGTCCCTCATCTTCTGGCAAACTATGGCTGCACTGGGGCGTGTGTTCTCTGATTAAGTCATCTGAAGACACACGGGCAGGGCATCGCCATGCCTCTCTCATTAAAAATGCTTTGGACTCTGAGGAACAAATAAATCAATATTTTTTTGGCTGCTTTCCCAACAGGGTTCTTTTCCCAAAGCACAGTGCAAGATAAGGAATTTATGAACGACGGCATCCGTGTGCCTCCTTTCCCAGCGGGAGAAAGCAGGGCCTGGGTTGTCATTCTGGGAAAATCTACCCTCTTTTTATGCCTGGCAAATAATGTTTTATGGCCCTGGGTTTATGGTGGGTGTTTTAATGATCTGCTGTAGAAAGCGGGGTTTTCTCTCCAGTCACTAGAATTTGTCAAGAGGGCCTGGAGGCCATAAAAGAGGGCTGGGCCCTAGGGACAAACAGGCTCCATCTTCTGAAATAAACTAATAAAGCCCCCAAGATGTTTACCTCTTTGCTTCAGAGTCAAGAGCAGCAGGGCTGTGTGAGGGCCCTGCAGATGGAACACTAGAAAAAGGACAAAGAGGCCGGAAGGGGCTGGAGGGGCTTCCCCAGCACCACATGGCCACAGTCAAAGTAATCCCATCACAGAATACTACCACTGGCCACTAGCCTGTGGGGGACAAAGGCTCTCTTGAAGTAAGGGGGCATTTTTGCTTTCTGGGCAGACTCAAGGAAATGCCTTAAGAATCTCAAGCAATCTCAATTGTTGTCCATGGTGGCACACGGATTTAATCTCAGCACTCGGAGGCAGCATCTTCTTTCACTAAGTGGTACTTTCTGATGGTCCCATGTGGATATTTTGATCCGGTATCAACTGTTGTTATTTGTTTGTTATTGTTGGTCTTTAAAGGATAGCAGGGTCAGAAAGAAAATAAAGGTGATTTGGGGCGGAGCTGGTTCTGGCTCTTGTTGAGTGACTCTGCAGTAGCCT